AAAGCGTGCAAGAAAAATGTTCGACTGGACGGACAATGGTCCAAGTAAGACGTGCGTATAATTAGGTATGAATAGTCTCCGCTAATGACGTCAAAACGCGATGTTCGGCCTTTGTTCAAAATTTAGTTCAAGAAACGCTCCGCGTTCCTTCTCGGTTTACGTAACGAGCGTTGCGATATCGATTCTCCAAGCATTTCTTTTACGAGATAAACAATGAGGTAAAAAGTAAAAACCGATGAAAATCCGATCTGCAATTTTAATAGAGAGAACACGAGATAAATCCGTGTTTTTCCTACTTTCGTCTGTTTCCGCTTCGCGAGGTTCCTCGTGCGATGCGATGTTTGATCGATAGTGCGTTCTTATTCGCGAATGAAAAAAAATCAACCGCGACCAGCGAAAGATTGATTGATTTTAGCACGCGGAAAACGGTAAACACATCCCATTTCCATGCGATCGTTCCGCGTTTTTCTATCGTCCGATCCTCCGGAGACTCGTTTGTGTACACGATACACGTGTACCCAATGTACTAAACTGACGAGTCGGAAGCGAAAAAAAGGAAGGAAAGCGACAGAATAGAAGAAAACGATTGGGAATTACGGAGCAAGGATGGAGAGGAGCCCGAGAGGAGCCCGAGAGGAGGAGATAGTAGGAAGTCTCGACGAGACCGCGAGCGATTCAGTAGAGAATAATTACGTCCCCATTCGTCTTTTACCTTCGCTTTAAGTCTTCTCGATAATGTATCGATGAAGAAGTATCTCTTCTTTCTCCTCATCCTTTTAATGTCCGCTCTTTCGCATCCGAATCGACTCATCGACGTCAGCATATTCCCCCGCACGAGAATTAATCATCCGTCATCCTTCTCATTTCTTTTTTTCAACGTATAACGCCTAGCAGGAACGCTGGCCGTTTTTGGACGGAGGAACCGCTTTAAATTCATCCAATTTCCCGGCGCATTAACGATGGATTAACTCTCCGCCCACAGAAAGGACCCCCCCGTATGTTCGAGTTTTCCCGCGACACGCTTATCGGGCATCGCGAGACGGCGACGACGACGTCGAGGGACGCGATCCGTGTACACGCATACCAGAACCAGCCCGTGGACCGGGGACCTTTATCGATAAGACTGATGGATAATACGACCTGACTCGGCTGGGCGCCCCGTGGCCCGTGGATCGAGTGCCACGAAGCCTCCATAGATTCTAATGAGCGACACGGAACGGGAGGGAATTTGATTTTCTCGAGAGCAAGCTAGCTAGACTGTCTTGAGTCTCGAGTGTGGGCGTGGAAGCCGGAGTGGCGAGGGGGTGGAAACGTCGATTTTTTTCGTGAATGAAATTTAGCTGCTCGAATTAAACGCAAGAACGGTGTCGAAAATTCCGCATTAAGACTCTATTTTCATCAATTCAACGCGTTGAACGAGCTCCGATAATTCGATACCGGTATCGGTTATTTAATTTTAATGAGTATGTTGCGTCCTAACGAACAGGATTGTCCGGAAGATTGCCGAAGAGGATAATTATAGCGGCGGATAATTTCCCCCGTTGAAATTTCGGTTCATCTAGAGCAAATGGAGTAGGAAGCCTGAAGAGAAAATCCAAGCTCGCTTAAACTTTGTAGCATCCGACGAGGGAAGCTAAAAGCAGAGGCTCGCGTTTCACCGACGTGACGGTCGTTCGTGCAACGTTTCGATGAGTGGAATCACTCGCAAAGTTAACAATGAGAATATTTGTCCCGTAACTTAGTCCGCTAGCCACTCTCGATCTTTCCTACTTCAAACGTGGCAGCGAACGTCTCACGTGAGTTTTCCGTCTGCGTCTCATCATCTCAGCTGATGATAAACTATAACATATTTTCCAAGACATATCTAAATTTAATTCTCAAATCAGGACCAGATAATTGGATAAAATTTGCATAAAGTTTGCATAGATTTGCATTTTCTGAGCCGCTTCCTGAAACACGATTTCAAAGCTTGTCTACTATTTAACTCCGTTAATAGAACTTGTACCGAACAAACCCGAACAAAAGTCTGAGAATTGATAGAACATCGTGGAGCTTCAAAGTAAGCCTTTATCGGAGCAGTTCATCATCGCTCGCGAACCGGGCATAGTTAGAGGGTGTCTATTAGCACGGAGAGGGAGTGATTTCGGTGGCGTGAAATGGGCACGATAGCACCTTCGTGTTTGGGTACTTGGACACAAGCGTTGCGTGGCTGCGCGACGCGCGCTCCGAATTCTTGCCAGCGATCAGCATGTCGCGCTATATTCCTGCGATTCTCGTATTCGAAATCCCAATACGACGAACCAACGTTTCTGAATCTCACTTGCGAGAATCGAGAATTAAAATTATTCACTACTTCAACCCTTGCAAAGAATCTCGAGCCTTACGAAACGAGACGGACAGGGACGAAACGAAACGGCAACCGGAATGATCTACTTCGCAGGTAAGCTCGTAGGTAGGATCCCTAAGGGTGTGGGTGGGATACAAAGGGTAGGCCGGTGGCAAAAACTGTGAAGCGCTCTGTAGAATTTTCAATAAGGCGGGGTCGGAAGAAGAAGATTAATGCAACGCCGCCGAGGGACCTTAGGAGACGACAGCGACATGACTGTCAAAAGAACATCCCCAGAGGCAAAGTCCATTCGCTCGTGTGCTCTTCGAGTCCGCAATCCCCGTCTTCTTCGTCTCCTTCTTCCTCTCCTACTTTCCGTCTTCTTCTGCTTCCTCTCGTACTTCTCATCTTCTTCGTCCCGTCGTTCGACCTTTCTGCGGACCAGGAATCCTGACTTTTTCGGTCTCGTAAGTCGTAAGCCCCTATGGGTATGCTTCCTTTTGTTATCCTCTCGATGCGCGTCATCCTCTTTAAGGAAGTTCGAAGATGACCGGAGAATGCGGTTCGATTTTTTTTCATAAATATATAGTTATACTTTTTTCAAATTAAAAGGACGAGACAATATGAGCTAATATTCTTCGATCGAACCGTATTCCACTCTGTCCCTAGTCTCGCAAATGAAGCGAAACGAAGTCAAAGAGGGAAAAAAGGGCGCGACTCGACGTTCGTCCGAGCCGTGGAGATTGGCGCGATGTGGCGTGGTTCAAAGCGATCTCCGGTCGCGAGCACTGCAACCCCTAACCTCGGAGCGAACCTCGTCGGCCCGAGACAAACCGCAATGCCTGCACGCTGTTCGATCAATCACACGCACCAACAGATGCACGCGCGTCTCGAGCTGACCCTCGAACGGAACGCATCGGCCCGTTTGCGTTTGACCCTAAGCCCCGGCCTCCTCAGGAGCGACAGTTTTACGGCCGAGGCGAGAATGTAACGACGTTTCGACCAACATGTCCGCACCCAGCTTCCGTTTCTTGCATCGCTATTCTTGTGAATCTGTCGCAAATAAACATCGATATTTACATGGTTTATTTTCCTCGCAACCCTCTTGTGCGATAAAGTAAACCCTTTCTTACGGGGCTACTAATCAATTAATCGGTCCACCGCGCCGGCCTTCGCGCGTACATGGAGAAAGAGCACGCAAAGAGTGAAGGGTCTCTCAAGATAAAAGAGATGATAATAAGAAGAAAAAGAAGTCGGTAAAAGAACGGCAAGAGGGGCAAAGGGGAACGTGTAGCTTATCCACCGGTTATAAAGGTAAAAACCGTGTAAAAATGTAACGCTCGAAGGACTAGTGGCATGGATGACACGCGAATAGTGAGCGGTAGCCGCGCTAATCCCGGCTCGTGCTCGAAATTCCGTTTTGAACGGCTTCGACTTGGTAGCGCTTCTCGGTTGACTTCCGGTTTTCCACGACCGCGACGGCGAACGCCTCCGCAGCTACGCGACGTCACCCGCAGGAATTATGGAACAACCTTCCAGACCGAACGGAAATATTTTAATATAGCGGACGGGGACGCGCTTTAATATACATGGGACGTTCCGCTGGCCGTTCCCTTCATCGTAAACCCTTCTCCGTTTTCCTCGGCAGGGTCGGGGAAGGGATTTTTATGAGACTTTCATCGAGTAGCGCTGTATAAGGGGACGTGTATCTGGCGAGTTTATTGCGCCAAAAGTGCGACGAGAGTTCGAAAGAACAGTCGAGCGAAATTAACCCACCGATAAAAATCTTTGGATCAAAATCAGGAACAGAATTTCAGGAAGGGTGCTAACTCGGGATCAATTTGCGCCCGCGCTAGTGCATCCTCATTAAATCCATTCTCTTCTTCAACTTCGTTTTTCGCGTCGCGTGTTTTCCGATAATCGAACCAAACGGCGGATAATTTACGAGCGACGAGCTCCGACCGGACAAGTTATGTTATTTAATCCAATCGGAGTGTCAATTTGCGACGGCGCGGATTCGCGTGAATGATCGGCCATAGGTGATGCGAGAAACTCGAGCTACATCGAGCGTCGCTGTAAACGTGTATTAAAAAATGCATGAAAACAAAGATAGAAGAAAAGATATAGTCAAATCGATTTCTCATCGAAATATAATAATAATAATTTCACGATGAAAGATATTTCAATTGCAGTTGCACAACTATTTCAATGAAGCATTGCCAAAAATAATTCGAGCCAACAATGAAACTATTTGCGCTCGTTCTAAAATACATGTTATTCACATTTGTTGAATTGTTGTAACGTTCTGTTACGATGAAAATAACGAATCAACTCAGTTGCGTAAATTGGCGCGCTCGTTATTATTTTTCGCGTTAGTCACGAGAATCTCGCTCACAATTTTTCTGTTTCATCGATCCGCCAGTTTATTTTGCAAGTCCCGAAATATGGTTGTTAATTAGTTAAATACCGCGCTACGGTGTTATCCGTCGGGTCATGTCGCGTCGGAACAACGCGGGGAATGCGCAAAGAATCGGTGGCGAGAGGAAGCGCTCTGCCTTAGCGATGAACGGCTCGAAAGCTCCGAATCGTTGGTACAGATGGTGCATGTTGTACGAACGGCTGCACGTTAGCCACGTGCGATTATTGCGGGGCGGAAGAAAGAACGAAATTCAAACTCCGGTAACGATTCCATTATTTTACAAATAATACAATTTCACCGTATAAATAGTAAAATCTGCCACTAACCACGGCTAATCCTCGACTAAAGGTGGCGGACAATAACACCGGCCCTCTTTTTCGGCGGCGTAACGAGCCGCGCATTCTCTCAATAAAATCTTGAAAGGATGCGGAGTGATGTTCTCGGAGGCGTTCAACAACTCGTCCGTCAGTTTCTGGTATTCTTCCTGACGCTTCAATTCCTCCAGATACATCTTTTTGTCCGTTTCAAGTTCCTGGCGACGCTTATCCTCGGTCCACTTCCACTGGTCCTCCAACTCCTTCCTGTAACGCAACATCTTATTCTTCCGTTCCTCCTTCGCGTGAGCGGCCAGCTTCGCCTCCGACTCGATCTCCGCTTCCAGCATTTCTTTCTCTAGTCGACGTTGCCTCTGCTCCTCCTCTTCTCTTTCGCCTTTCAGTTTCATCTGTTCTTCGCGACCTTCGAGAACGTCTCGCATGATCTTCTCCCTGGCTTGCTTGAACTTCCTCACCGCCTGATCGCGCCTGTACGAAACGCACTTCAGCGACTCTTCTATTATTCGATCCATTTCCACTTCTCTCTTGGCTTCCTCTTTCCTCAACTCCTCCAGATATTCGATGAAAGCTAGAAGTTCTTTACGAAGAGCGGCGCTGGATTCTTTGATGCTTGCTTGCTCCTTCGCCAATTCCTCCGCGGCGATCATTTCCCTCATTCGGTCCATCTCCGCCTCGTGGCGAGACTCTTCGGCCAACTTTCGCTTCGCGATCAAAATCTGTTCCTGCAATTCCTTCTTCAGCTTCTCCCTGTTCTCCCGTTCTATCTCGAACTTTCGAAGCTCCTCCTGATGAAATTCTTCCAATAGACGCTTCAAATGTTCCGCGTCCTCCTGCGTTACCTGCTTCTTCTGCTCCTCGAGAGCCAGTTTTCCCGCTACTTGATTCGCCAGAATGGACATATCGCTCTCTTGGACGAGGATGCGTCTTTTAGCTTCCTCCACTTCCCTCTCCTTCTTCGCTTCGACTTCTTTCAACATCAACTGGTGCCACATTCCTTCCAATTCCTTCTCGGCTTGTCTCTTAGCTTCGTTATCCGCCATTTGAGCCAAATTACTCTGTTTCGCTTCGATCGTCGACTTCTTCGACAGCTTTTCGCGGACTTCGACACACTGAAGTAAATACTGTTGCATCCTCTTGGCAGCCACCAAGGCTAAACGCTGTTCCTCCTGTTCTTTCCGTATTTCTTCGGTTCGGCGACGAATCTCGTCCATCCTTGCATCGTCGCCGTGCTGAGCTTGGTATATCACCTCGTGAATGAGACCCATTTCCTCTTTCAGCAGTATTTCGCGTAGTTTTTCCCGTCGCGTGTTTACCGTGTCCTCGTACTCCGCTAGTCCTGAGAAAATACCGATCGCGTACGATAGCTCGACGAAAAGCGAAAAATCTAACAGCGTACTGGTACTAATAATTCAAATAAATATCAATTCTTCACTCTACCCTAAAACTGCGCCTAATTTTAAATATTGAATTCTACTAAATCTGATAATGCGAGTTAGAAAATTCAACTGACGCTAACTTTACATAAGCACGGATCCGAGCGCGGCGTTTTTCATGAATACCTTGTTGAACGCGTTGCTTGATCTTCTTCTTCTTGATCCTCCTATTCGTATGTTCGACAAAGTCCAGGATCTTTTCCAACTGTTCGATCTCTCTCCTTTTCTCCTCATCGTAGTGCTCGAACGATGGCGGTAGTTTAACGAGGCTGCACTTCGTCCTCTCTTTCACCCGATATCCCCAAGGGGTGTTCGCGGTACCGATCACGTCCTGAGGATGTTTCCTCGATCTTATGGGACCACATCGTATGTCGTCCAACGGAAAGAAACTCATCGTTGTTCGATACGAGGGTTAGAAATGTTTCAACGGATCGCGTTTCCGTCCGTACGGTGTTTACGGTTACTATGACGATCCCCAGCCCAGCCCTGTTTAATTAATATTTCAGGTTTGCGGAGGCGGGGGTTGATTTGCAAGCGAGGGATGCGGTGCCGAGGAACTAAGGGTGAGCAGGGTTGGCTCGAGTATATTCCGGAACGTTGCTTCATGCTGCTTTGCTTGCGTTCCAAAGAGTCGATAGACTGTTTGATCATTCCGATTACGTTTCTACCGTATCTAACTATTTACTATCAGTCGTTCATAATCGATTATTGTAGTAGTACAATGAGCGCGTCGAATCCTGAGTATCTCTAGATATTCACGCATTTACGCACAGAAAAGTAATTATCTGGGGAAAGGGGGTGGTGCGGCGATGGGACGAAGAAGAGAAGGCAAACGAAGCTGCGATAACTCGACGGCAAAGTGCTAACATTGCGCGCCGTCAGAACTTCGGGACTTCGACGGTGGCTCGTCTTTCAAGTTCATCGAGTTTACGAGACTCGACGTAGTTCGATTACACGCCTCCAGGCATGGGTGTAACGCAATATCTATATCGAAGTAATCAAACACACAATATCCCCGATTTAGGTAGGAAATTTCGCCGCTGTTGGACGAACGCAGTGTGGTTGGTGCGCGTTGACTTGCGTGTCACACGACAAAATACGCGATTAATCGACTATTTCGATTTCGATTGGGAAGAATCGAGTGTCGGTAGTTTCAATTTCGCTTTATTGCAATTCTCTTGTCATATATACATACAAGTTCAAACCAATGCTTCAACTTGCTTCTAAGCTCGTAAATCATGTTTGAATAAAACAGTTGGTTTCGATCGCTCCGCACTGATTCTCTTTCCATGTACACGCAAATAACATTATCCGCTCTTGCGCACGTCATAACTCAATGTTCTCGCAAACTCTTCGCGTTGAGTTTTCACCGGTCTCGACTGTACAACATACAAAAATTCCATCAGGAAAAAGCACGACGAATCGTGAAAGTTTCCTCAGCCTACTCGCAATTCGATCGAACGATTATCAGTCCGCTAGTCAGTTATCATAAATAGTTCATTCTAATTTCCGATGGATGGAGTTTGGTTTTTGGTCAATTTCTCGAAAACGAAAACGGTATCGAGAGTGCTAATCACGGAGCCGGAAACCGACAGGCGCCATACTAACCTGGCGTAGGGGATATCATGATCAACGAGGTGGTTCCCCCAGGCATGAGGCCATAGAGCTGAAGCCTGTAAGTACTCCTAACGCGAGTATTTGTGCGTTAAATTTTTGGTAGTGTGGGGTTCTTGCGGGAACGCAGACCCCATGCATAATCGTTCGACGAAAAACACGGTACGGTTCTCTCCCTATTCATTTCAACCACGAATACGGTAAAGATTAGAACGGTTAGAGCCCCAAGGATATCATGGTCAACGTATCTCTTTCCAACCATCCCCGAACAGCAGTAACAACGCTCAGTAATCGTAGTTTTCGTGACAATACCGCCCCCGGAATCTTTTCTTCCCATCGTCATCGAATTTCTTGTTCTCCGCGACCTACTTCGCGGGCACAACGACTACGAGGTCTTTAAGTCAGTGGCTCCTACCGCGAAAAGCCGGGAAGGGAACGCCGTACAGTTGAAAACACGAAGATACACCCTGAAGGGGCTGGCTGCCGGTGAAAAAGACGGATGAAGAGTTTCGCGGAAGCGGCCAATGAGTAGCGTGCTACGCGTTGGACAATTCACCTAGTTTCATCGTGGAATAGTCCGCCAGGAATCCTCTCTTGAGACATTGACGTTTCTTATTGCACACAGCTTAACGTAACCCCCCAAGTGTTCCTTGGACAACGGAAAATCTCGAGGGTGAACGAACAAGCCGGCTGGAGGAGACGTTCACAATGCCTAGCCTCGACCGATATGTGTCTCGTGTGTACCTCGTTCTTTGCCTATCGCTGAAAACGCGTGGAAACGAATCAGCATCGTTCCATCATCGACGATTGAGTCGCTGATCGTTGACTACGAACTTCGTAGAGTATTATAGTTCAGAGTGGTCGTGATCGGCGAACGATTCTTGAACGACGCGACTACGCTTTCTAGCTTTAATTCAACCGTATAAATGCGATGGCTATATAATTCTCGAAGGTCCTTCCACTTAATGAATCTCTCTATTATCGTGATCGAACATCGATGCAGTCGTCCTTCTCAACTCGTAACGCACAGAGTTTGCGCTAACTCGGTGCAGATCGAATCGTCGTCGATTAAGTAGATTCGGTCAGAGTATTAGGTTTCAGCGATCGTTCGCGCAGAATTAAAATTATTGCTTCGTTACATAAAATACTCATAAATAAGTATCTTAACAAAATTGACATGTGCGCTCGACGCGATTCGTCCTCGCGATGCCGGATCGATACCAAGAGACATCGAAGGAAAATGTTGGATGTCGTTCGAATTCCATTCCTCGTTGATCGATCGTCCACCGTTGAACGCGATCGAGGATGATATCGCGCTTGAACAAACTTATCTCGCAGCAGCAGATTCGAGTCACGCGGTATTCCAAGTGTCCCGTGGGTGTCACTCCATTAGAAGAGTATTCGCGTCGATCAATGTTCCCGCGTCGAATCGATCGACGTGATCGAGTCCCCGATCTCGTAGACCTAATCTCCTGTACTAAGTTCGGAGACAAGTTCGTTCAATATTTTTCACAGACCCTTCATTTTCCATCCACCATTTTACTCCTTGTTTTTTTTTTTTATAAAAATGCGTGTCTTTATTTATAAAATTCGTTTATAAGAATGAAAAGTAATCGGTAGTCATTACGAGATGAGTTTGGAAGGTGTTAAAGATAGATAGGTTTCAAGGAAGCATGATAGCTAGAACAGGAAGAAAGTTGACGAAGCGGAACGAAGAATGGCGATTGCGATAGGACAGAATAAGGTAAAGGTACCTTAAAAAAGATAGTGTCCACACACGATATGATATACTATACTCGATATAGACTAAACGCGTCGCGGATGTGATCGTGACGGAACGTATTAGCAAAGGCACGAATCTTTGTTATCACGAACCGATGTACAATTGCTACGATCCTTTCTTGCGGTTCGATTTGTTTAGACTTATGTAATCTTCAAAATGTATATAAATAAACCGAACTCGGGGGGTCCTAATACTAGATCATGGATCTAGGTATCGGGAATCGTAGCAGACATGAGGTGATCACCGGCGAATAGATTTTCCTAACTATTTTTAAGAACAGCATTCGAATGCTCATCTACGTATTGTTGGTAAGTTAATTGAACTTCGACGATCACGATCGAAACACAATAAACCGATCTCTGGAATTTCTTCTCACTCTCTCTCCAACTCTGTTCTTCCCGAAGCAGCGTGAACGGAGGTGAAGAGCGTTATCACGCGTACAGCAATTACGATACTATTACGATTATGTATACTAATTTCCGTGAACTTTCGATAAACGCGCGAAATGAATATCGAAGGAAGGAAACGTATCAATCGACGTCCCCCAAATTCTAAAGGAAAGTAACGATAATTGTAATTGAATCGTAAATAATCGCCGTACAATCGTTATCGATCGAAAGTCACGACGGAGGATTTCGCGGTCGAACGCTAAGGCGTAGAGCTGGACCCTGTCGTAGTGGACGGCATGGCGGTGGTGGTTGGACCCGAAGCGGGCATCGTTGGCGGCGCGTACGGGCTTCCACACAGTTGATCCGCGATCCTTCCACCCTCGCGAAGTCCGCTGAGAAACGCGCCGTGCACGGTCGCCGGATAATTTCGTATGGTGTGCTCGCCTGAAAGTACAAGTTCGATCCGCCGATCGCGTTAACCTCCGTTTATAAAGCCCGCGGGCACTCGGGACTGAGAATAAGAACGTTACCGCGACGACTGAACGAATCCAGCGGTCAAAAAGAGTCAATTTCACGTTCAACTTTCCACAGCGCGACAAAGAGTCCTATATTCCAGCCGAGTGTGCGCGAACGATATAAATCGATCTTTAGAGAGGAACCGGATGGATGGAGAATCGTGCCGCGGGTATCGCTCTGGGCGAAGATGTTCCTTTTTTTTCATCTGCCTCTTATAGGCGATGACCTTGGTCGATTCAGGGAATCGAGTAACCGTCTGGGAATACGAGAGGGAAGATTGCACGCTCGTTGAAAGAGTTCGTTCAGGAATATAATAAATAAAGTTCGGTTGGCACACCATTTTCAGAGTCAGAAATCGGAGAGCAAGTTTCAGCTTATTCCTAATTGTAAGCATTTCCAACTCGATTTTACTTATCTCGCTGTTTGCATGCACGAGAAAAATACTCTTATCTGCATACGCGTTAGAAATATCTCCTCGAGTTCATCGCAAAACAATTATTAACGCCTAAAAATCCGCTTTGAAAGCACTATCTAGAGATAAGTCGCATGCAAGAAAAAGCCATGCAGAGAAAAAGCACAAGCGAGCCCCCCGAAAGGAATGCTATTCGTGTCACGACTGCAGAAATTGCGCGTTCCTTGCCGGCGAGCGCTAAAGTCCACTTCATTCCCATCTTAGAAGGGAGAAAAGAGATTGCCGCGAAAAATATCACAGCGGCTAAATATTTACCTGCGAAGAAGACCCTCGGCTGCGGGGCCGAAGCGCCAGGACCGGCCGGGGGTGCGACGGGCGCCGCCAAGAGATCGTAATCGCTCCCGGAGCTGCCAACCGCGACGAAGCTGTAGGAACCCCTCGCCCAAGGGTCCGCCCTCCATCTCGTTACCACGCTTTCACGGGGTTGCGGAACCACTTGATTCCCAAAAATACCCTGAAGAACACGCCGCGAAAGGGATCGAGTTTCTCGGAAACCAATGAGAGAACGAACCGTACAACGGAAAAATGTATTTAATCAAGTTTTTAGGTACCTTTAAAACCGCGATGCAACGGCCGACTATCACATCGTCGCTGACGTTTTCCATCACGCAGGCAGCTTCTCCAGCGACCAGAGCCAACAGCACCGGCGCCTTGTAAAGATTCCAGAAGAGAAACAGCTCGCCACGGGACGCGGTCGTGCTGCCCACGTGCCCAAACAAATTGGCGGTTGGGTCCCAGAAGATTCGCTCGAAACACAGCACCACCTGACGTCACGGATTTCCGGGAATTAGATACTCATTTCACCTAACAGCGCTCGCGGACACCGGTAACGATCACTCTCAGCCACTCTCACAAATTCTACATAAAATTTGCACGATACGCTTTTGCTCTCGATAAAAATCATCGAAATCTCGCGACGTTAACGATTCCGTAAATCGTTCTCGCAATCGGGTCGAGTTCGTTCGAAAGATCTGAACGTAGTCCGTTTAGCTGGTCGATGAGCCTTTGATTTCGAGAGAAAGAGAGAGAGAGAGAGCAGGGATAGGTCGTAAACGTAAACCAACTCCGAGAGGCCGTAAAAGGAACGTGTCCCGGCGTAAGAAGCGACACGAGCCACGTCACCGGTACTCTCGCGACGAAAGAGACCGCCGGATCGCGATATATCTCATTCGGAGCCGGTCGGTGGTCGACGAGTTCGATGGTCGTTTTTGGCGGGCGCATAAATCAGGCAGGGAAGATCCGCGAAGAGGCTCAGGGGAAACGAGAGCATATCGGCGAGTGCGACTTACCTTATTTAAATTGCCGAACCCGAGCCTCTGAATAGCCTGAGACTTCCAGTCCGGAAGCGGCGGGTTGAACGCGACCGCGGACGGTGGACCGGAAGCCTTCAACACGCCGAGCGGCAGCGTCACCAGTACCGCATCCGCTTTGTACACCGTGTGATTCGTATGAGGACTGCGAGAGGGTGCGGCCCATACTTCCACCCCGTTCACCCCGTAACGGACCGCCCTCGCCGCGGTGTTCAACCGGATGTCCAGACCCTCCGACAGAGCAACAGGTACACACGAATAACCGTTGCGGACTGAAAAATTCAACGAAACGATCTGTGATTAAATATCTGCTGATGTATACGCGTAACGTAGACGAGTCTGGTATGAAACTAGTGAAGAATCAATGCACGCAACGAAGTAGATGTTATAATGTATTTCCGTTTATCAAGCCTTTGGTCGATACTTGAATTCAGCGAACGCGATTACTTTGAACGATATCAATATATCCAGGAATGCTATTATCGATTACGAAATAATCGGAGCTGCTGATATTTTTTTTGTGGTGCCTCGAATACGCGCGAATCGTCAAAAGATGGATGCTGCGGCACGGCGCGACAGCGAGGTCGAAATCCCGCGGACTTGATATTACCGGATACGCGGATGCGATAAAGGCTCCATTACCGGCCCATTTAATTGGATATTTCGCATTAGCGCGGCCAAATCAGGATATCTGACGCGGCCCTAAATCCTCGTAAGCATATTCGAACCCATAACATCGGCTGCGCATGTACTAATAATGATACACAGGCGTCTCCACTTAGGTGGGTTAATTATGTTGATGGCCGGCACCATGCCGGCGACCGCCTCTATCGGTCGATGCCGTAGTATCATCGCATCACGAATTTCAATTTACAAAATCTTCGTATACGGCCGATACCATCTCTATACTTCTTCAATTCTGTCACGGACATGTGATCTACCGTGATGTTGTCAACGAAAGGTCTTAAATATTATTTGGCATACCTAAATTGCTTTTAAGATTGTTTCTATATTATAATCCGGTAATATATTGTAAAAATGGCTAAATTATTATTAATAAATGTCAATAATTTAATGTGTGTGTTAATTAATGTTACGCTGAATTAATAAAAAGATGTGATTCCATTTCGCTGGAATAGAAACTTGGTTTATTCCGAGGGAAACAGACAATACAACTACCAATATTACTCGTTTAAGTTGATTAATCGATAACTATTCGTGAACAGTGGATAGTCGAATCAGTGTCGGTATTGTATCAGTACAGCAATCAAAGGTGAAACACAAGAGTCCATAAAGTGATAGATGTACTCGTATATCTCGCCAGTGATTCTACTCTGCATCGGCGATAATAGGTTTTCTCCGTTTCCAATCCCCGCAGCTACTTCGTCGTATTTCAATTTGCTACATTCTACGATAATTAAACGATCGAATCGTCGTTCTTTCGTTTGCGATACCTGCAACCTCGTTTAAAAAACGAACACGCGGAACATTCCATTTACCGCGTCCTTTCTTATTTTTCTGTTTCCCGTTTACCGCGGAGCTGACTCGACCTGTTCCCACCTAGAAATTTATCGTCGCGTCGAACGATAGCCGCCTCGTCGTTTCGTTAATTCGACCGATTTAAATTCGACATTGGCCCATTCACCGTTCCTCCGAAGGGGTGGGAAGAGGAGGGAACGAAAACCACGAGAAATCGAATGGGAAAGGACGCGACGCGTGACGCGAAGCCACCGTCCACGTCGATATCCGCGATTATTTGCGACGACGAAAACGTTCGTACAGTCCGGATTCGTTATTACTTTAATTGGAATCCATTTGACTGGCGGCTACACCGATGCCACGGTAGATGGTAGACTGCCGCTCGTGTCTGGCGTCGATTACAGAAACCCTTTCTAATAAGCGAGGGAATATTCAACAGCCAGTGAAGGGAACGATCCGGCGCTACCAAAATTATAGTAAGTCGATCCTACCTTCTCGATCCGCTCTGTACGCGTGTATATACGTATGCACGCACGTGTACAGGACGCGTTCGGTTCGGTTCTCCTCGGTTTTCAGTATTCTTTTTATCGCGATGGTAGATACTTGATTAACGCGGGAAATAAGCGCGGTTGATTAATCGTCAAAGAGCGATCAGGCGACAGCTATCATCGATTCACGAATACATCAAGTTTTCTAAATTCTTCGATGTGTATTAACGAATTGGCAAACGAGCATTCGGGTAACACGCGTATAGTGCACCTCGCGCATAATACCGCGGCAACTCCGAACAGTCCGCGCTCGCATGTTTGCTTTTCGGACAGAACAAACGTTTAGCCCGCGCGCGCGGTGCGTTCAGTGCGTGGATAATGCACGCCGTATGCTGTCTTCCACCGTAGAATCGTCTCTGAAAAATCTGACGAACAAAAAGCGAGCCGGAAGCCTATTCAAACTCCGGTCCCATTGCTGTTTTTCCGGCTTTCGTTCGCGAACAGACCGACTGAATTTTTCAACGGACCGCGTCGCGTCGTACCGACGACTGCACTCCCGGTGAATGAAAAATTCGTTCGTTGCATTTCCGTTCGTCTGAAATGTCTACCGAGAAACGAGCAATCGATACTCGTAAAAAAAATTGAGCACTCGTCAATTATTTAATTAACGACGATAAGTAGATTCTGTTTTAAACAGAACGCGTTTAGAGAAAAATTACTCAATATCTTTGATGGAGCCGGTATTTAGCGAGTTAAATAGAAGTGGAACGCGGTTCTCCAGAAGGTATAAGATCCAGTCGGTTGGCTCCACTTTCGATCTTGCATCTGCCAGCAGAACCACATCCGCCGTGACTGCCGAGGGTGCGGGCGCGGGCGCGTCGTCGAACGCAAATATTTAACGAAGAATTTATCAGCGTGTCGAGGTCCGCGGCAACGCGGCGCGAAACGATCCGACGCGAGGAGAGGAAGGAGCCGGGTTTCCTCTCGTTCTATCTCGTCCGGATCGAGGACGAGCCGTGCTCGCACTCGTAGCGGGCTATGCTACCCTCTCGCGTCTTGTCTTCCGTTTGATCTTTGCTCGCAGTATTTTTTGACGGCGAGTCGAACAATTTGTATGCCGCGCTGCTTTTCAATTTACATTTAAATTGGTTGCTTATGGCGTTCTGTCGTCTCGACAGGAGTCGAAGTGCAGCCAAGAACGCAACACGGAGAGAAAACGGAGGGACGGAGAGATAAGAGAGAGAGAGAGAGAGAGAGAGAAAGAAAGAAAGGAGCCGTGTAACTCTGGCAAGGTGAAAGGAGGAGAGACGAAGAGGAAGAGAGCAGAAGAGACGCGGAACGTCGTCCTCCCGGTCGAACGCTCGAACAGTCAAATACTGAAACGACTCCGAGAGAAAGAGAGGCTGACGGAAGAACGAGAGTTCAACGCACGGAACACGCTCCGGGCGGAGAGAAGCCGCGTTTTTCTGCGGCTCGCGTAAACGCGTGCACGGGACTCGACGAAATCGGCGAAGAGGGTGGCTCTGGTTAGGAAACGTACCTAAGTATACGTGCCCGTACGCGAGGAAGAAAACGTTACTCGGGTACCGATACACGGAATTTGCATCTCGTCGAACTGGCTCGAAATCGAGCGTGCCACGATTCGACTCGCCTGTAAGCAGATTTGCGAAAATTCCGAATAAATGGGGAGATGGAGCCCGAGGGATGCTCAAGGGAAAGCGGATTTCTTTTTGTTCTTCCTCTCCGCTGGATATCGTACAAGCATTATTACCGGGCTGTCTCGTTTCTTATTCTGTCCCTTTCCCCGTCCCTCGTCAAATATTATCCTATCATCGCGACAATACAAGATTCGCTTGCTTCCACGTAAAACCGATGTACAACGATATCGTGTTTTATTAATCAGTCGACATCAAATTGCTGTCTTCGTATTTACGTTAAGACGGCACGTGGCTGGAAGTTAAAATTCACGAGATGCAAGGAGAAAGTACCTTGAAAAAACGTTTTGTCATTTCGCGTTCTATCCCGCGAGCGCTTTCGCGGCCTACGGCCCGTAGGTAGATAGGAATACAGAGGGATGCTTTTCTTGCGCAGCCATCCGTTGCGTCAACATTCCGAGTACCGACTCCCTGGTGCACGCCGCGAAAGAGACCGAACGGGACTCTCATTTGCCTCGTTGTCGAGTAAACATTGATTTTCGCAAATCGGCAGAATCGTGTGGGTCTTCCAGGTGAACTTCAACCCCTGCGGTCTGGCTCTTCCGTAGTTCTGTTTCTCTCTCTCTCGCTGCCGTTCTCGCTCGCTCCTCGCTTTGACGCGGGCAAATATTTATGAAATAAATAGTCGAGTTACCGAAGAGCTCGGATACGTCCGACCACGACGCCGAAAACTGATCGATCTTCGGCAACGCACCTTTGTACAGTTTCATTGACAAACACGAAACATCGACTCGTCTTATAGGAATTAATTGTAAGAAGTCGATCGGCTTTGAACGACGCGGTACGTCGAAGGAAGAATTTTGGAAGATTACGGAAATCATCCCCACGGCGAAAAGCGTTCACCGGAAATGGAATGTACGATTGAGACGTCCCAGACGACAAAAGCAGAAGATTGCGGAAGACAAAGCAGAGACAAGTGTTTCCTGTCGCAAATGAATCGCAGAAATGATATTTGACCGGTCGCGAAAGATGATCTCGGTGGTCCTTCTGGTTTGTCGTTGTCCCAGATGGATTTAGGATCGGCAACGTTCCGTATAATTTGTTCGGATTGCGATAAAGTTAATTGGAGGTTGGAGCGGAATTTATGATCGGCCGGTACGCGACGATCTGCGTCCAACCGCGACCGTCCGCGGAGGAATGCGAGATTCCTAGATCGCGTTTAGCGTCTAATAAGATCTATATCTTGGCACTGTGTCGCGTCCCGTCAATTTATTACGATCGTCGCATTCTGTGCAAATGGGCTCGTATCTCATGCGCTTTACCGTTAACGTATACGCCTAGGAAATCGGCGAGAAATTCTTCGCCTCGTTGAAAGACGCGATTTTTTATAGAGGTTTCGAGATAATAAATGGCGAACAGGTACCGCGTACCGTAGGAGCGAAGTTGGATTTATGAAACGCGGCATCCAAGAGACATCTACGAGTTAAGGGTTCAAGCGTTCTTCACTGGCCGGTAAAACAGAAAGATCGATGGATCCAAGAGCCAGGCGCGAAGTACGAAAACGAATAGTTAAACAAGTAAAAATTCGTAGTTCCATATTTATTACTATTACCACCGAGAAGAGATCACTGAAGTGTGGCAGCTTTATGG